CTTAGTTTTCGAGATATTTCACCGGTCCGGGACTTTTTGAACACCCTGTATATATATATATATATATATATATATATATATATATATACATTGGTAGTACAAATTAGTTCTGTTCGTTTTTTTGTGGTCAAAAATGCATTTATTTCAGAACAAAATAAATGAACAGATTAATCAAAGTATTGTCCATTGTTGGCTAGTACTTTTTCCCACTTCTCAGGCAATTTTCGGATTCCATCTCGAAAAAATGTTTCGTCTTTTGAGGTGATCCAAGTTAGGAGCCAATTTTCGATTTCTGCGAAAGAAGTAAACCGGTGACCTGCCAAATCGTGCTGCATCCGTCGGAACAACCAGTAATCAGAAGGAGCAATGTCCGGCGAATACGGCGGGGGCGGTAAAATATCCCACTTGAGCGTTTTCAAATAATTTTTTACGACTTTTGCGACATAAAGCCGAGCGTTATCATGCAGAAGAATAACTTTGTCATGTCTTTGCTCGTATTCCGGTCGTTTTTCTCGTAATGCACGGCTCAAACGAATCAATTGTAGCTTATACCGATGGCCCGTAATGGAATCGCCAGGTTGTAGCAGCTCATATAGTATATAACACCTTTTCGGTTCCACCAGATACACAGCATGACCTTCGAACCATGAATATTCGGCTTTGGTGTTGATGTTAAGGTCGATGGCAACGATTGACCGGGTATAGCGTAATATTTTTTCTTCTTGGGGTTATCGTAGAATATCCATTTCTCATCCCCAGTCACAATCCGATGTAAAAAACTCTTTCTTTGTTGCCTTTGAATCTGCTGTTCGCAAGTGAAAAATCGCCTTTCAACGTCTCTCAGTTTCAGTTCATAAGGCACCCAATTGCCTTGCTTGTGAATCATTCGCATGGATTTCAATCGTACGAAAACTGCTTGTTGCGTAGTAACTCCCAATGATTCTGCAAGCTCCTCTTGCGTTTGACTCGGATCTTTATCGAGTAATGCCTCCAATTCTTTGTCTTCGAATTTTTTTGGCTGTCTAGAGCCAATTTTTTTGCCTTGTCTTAAACGCTAAAATCACCATTCTTGAAACGTCGAAACCATTCCTTACATGATTTATCAATTGAAGCATTGTCACCATAAACTTCTACAAGCATTCGATGCGCTTCAGCTGCACTTTTCTTCCAATTAAAGCAGAAAACTAAAACTTCCCGCAAATGCTGCTTAGTTAACACAAAATTTGACATATTCAACACAGTAAAAAACAGGGGTTTTGTATGAAACTCAAAGCGATATAAACTGAATATTATTGACAGATGTCTAACCTCTCTGAAACCACCGAAATCAGCTGTCACTATGAAACATTCATAACAACCAGAGCCATCTTTTGAAAACGGGCCGAACTAATTTATACTCCCAATATGTTTCGAACGGCCTGAGGTCTAGAGCGGCTGGTTCGTCATATGCCGTCGAACGTTGTCGACTGCTATCGTCAGTTGCGCGAGTATATGTTGTGCTCTCCTATTCAGGAGCCTCGGAAGATGGTGAGAGGAAAGTGCGAGAGCGCTCTTGTGTATAAGCGCACTGCGTGGTTCAGTATAAAGCCCGCGTAGAGTTGCCCGGCGCCTCCGCGCTGGGAATGAATCCCCCTTTCGGAGGATGATAGTCACTCAGAGTATGGAGACACTAGTCCGTCTCCTTTGGTGAGTGTCGGAACCGGTCTGAATGAGATTCAGCTCTGTTTGGCGAGGAAGCAACAGAGGCTGAATCCGAGATGATAGACAGGCGAACTGAACTCGCCTTTATCAGTCGCGCACGCGGCAGATGCGATGTCTTGTAGTGAGAGCCTACACGCAAACGTAACTCTGAATCGCGTACGCGGTCGAGTCGAAGCCTGACGTTGACGTGCAGGTAACCGTAACCGTGCGTTGATAATACCGTGTGCGTGACGATTGCCAAGTCTCGTCGAGGCGAGAAGCGAAGAGTCCTCGCATATAGAGTCGCGGATGCGACGACGTAGAAGTCTTGAGTAGACTTAGGCCAGCGATCAGGTGGTGCGAGAGCGCAGTGCCTCTTGCAGCGAGGCAATAGCGAGCTTGGCTCGCGTGAGAGCTGCGTCCCTGACAGCGACTAAGTCCGGTGCGGACGTGAAGGCGAGCTAGGCTCGCGTGTATATGCTGCGTCTCTGGTAGCGGCTAAGTCCTGCGCGGACGTGAAGGCGAGCTAGGCTCGCGTGTATATGCTGCGTTCCTGGCAGCGGAGTAATAGCGAGCGTGGCTCGCGGGAGAGCTGAGGCCCTGGCCGCAGAGTTCTTGATTACAACGACGACTCGCGCGGAGTCGTGAGCTCAACCGTAATAAGTTCTGTTGGCGCTAATACCCGATATTCAATACGGGAGAAGTCGCGAAGAGAGACGTCCACCGCGGTGGAAGCGTCAAGGCAATCCGAAGTGATCGCGCGAAGCCTTCTCTCAATCCTCGATCGTATTGAGAAGGTGGAGATCCGTGGAGTTACCATACTCTTCGTAACCTAAACGCCAACGTGTCCTCGGACACTCTAGAGGCGTTAGCCCAATGTGCAAGCGCACTCTAAAGGGCTGCGAACAGTTGTGTAGAATTGCCGTAATCTAAACACAAATGCCAACGTGTCTACGACACTCTTAAGGCAGTGAAGATCGATGCAGATATGCAAGTATACCTCTGGTGAAGCAAGTGCCCAATGTGCTTGCGCACTCAAGAAGGCGATTTGAAGCTAGCTAGAGCGTAAAAGAATAACTGATGTGCAGTCAAAGCTGGCAACAGGCAAAAGGCATAAGAGCCTTGAGTGGTCTCGCGCGAGGACTGTATCACAGATATGACTAAAGTTGCAATCGTCTTTCAGAGAGGCGACGTGGCTGAGCAGAGTGAGACTCCCACGGCGAACATT